ATATATATATATATATATATATATATATATATATATATATATATATATATATATGTATATGTAGTATATATATATATATATATATATATATATATACGTCAATAAGCTTACGCATATATATACGTAGATTTGTTACGGCCAATTATTGATTGTCTGATGGGACTTGCCATTGTTATCAACAGGTGGTCATGACTCCTACGACTCCCAACGATATGTTTGTACAAACGTATCTCGCGCTCTTACCAGACGATGACCAATCCACCTTCCAGAGAATTGTATTGATGAAGGTAAGCTATTTTGTAGCGATTCATGTCCTCACATGTCGTAAGCTGATGAATCAGATGCACAATGTAATACTGAACAGATTCGTGTGCAGAGATATATGGAAGTGGATGTTGACTGTCAGGCCTGCTCTCTCTGGTTATTTAGGACAATTGCACGTCACATTTCTTGTACTTTGCCTGTTTGTTTATAACTCGTAAAATCTATCTGCAGAGTCTTAAGAAACAAGATGAACAAGCGCTTCTCGCTGCATACACGAAGGCTGCCAACGGTTCATCCATTAGTACGGTATGTAGCGCTGTGAAATATCTTCACTGTTTATTTTCAGACGATACATAAGTAGGGACTTATCTTATTCGCTGAACAGGTTTTATTGTAAAGGCTGGTATATCTTCTTGCTAGCATTGATGTAAGATAATTTACATTTACTGCAGAAGGGTGATGGTATGAAGGTGGAGTCTGACGGAAACCCTAGTGTAAGTGTGTCAGCCCCCGACGAGAGCACGCGTATGAAGAAGATCGAGGACTTCATCACGCGATTCAAATAGCTTGATACGTTGGGCCATTTTGGTCAAAAACAATAAATCTCACTCCTAATGGAAAGTTGGACTCAGAATGCACTTGTCACTTTTGTAATCGAACCTAATTACAAATCGGGAGACTGGTTCGCAATTTCGTAGGACGGTACAGTCAAGACTGCACATCTAGGTCGTGATATAGCAGCATACTGTACAGATTCAAATTCACCTCATTAGATTGCATATTTTTTGCCTATCGCCGATAACACTCAGGGATTTATAGGCTGAGGACGACCTACCGTACAACACTGTATGTATAGGACTAATCTCCGTACAAGATTGCGACCATTAATATATCGTCAGTCGACAAGTCGAGCACTGGTGCTAATGAGGTTTTGGGAACTCTGAACATCGCTTTAGTTTCTTTACAACAACTGCGTCCGCGCGAATTCGTCCTTTAACGCAAGCAACATACGCCATCATGTAAGATAGTGATGCAAATTCACAGCGGCAGCGCCGGCCACATAGGGCATAATCGTAGTTTAATACAGCGAAGTCCCGGAAGGCCCCGCTGTATTATACAATGGTAAAAGTTGCTCTGCCCATCGCCCCATCAAGCAGATATTTATAAAAACTAAACAGCCCACCATATCGTAATCCACCAATCAGAACTCGATTGCATTCCAACGGAATTCGGGATGATCCAACAGTTGAAAAATCAAAACTGCGCAGTTGATCTGTTGAGTTGTATTACGTATTTCAAAGTACGTGAGAAGCCTGTTAAAGAGAGCTTCCCTTGGAAAAATATGATATAAAAATGTACTATTCCTTGGAACGGCTCTCTACATTCGAAGGTTGAATGTACATGATAAGCAACTGCAATAATGGGAGGCACTCTGTCCTCCATTCCTTCTACATCCTTGAATGAGGATGAAATGAATGAATGTTACCCAGATCCGTCGTACCCCAAACTAAAATTCCAAAGTATTGTTCAGAACGGTGATGACTGGGGCTCAGGTGTGCACCGTAGTCCTGCTTCTGTAAACGGAGTACCAATATGGCCCACACATCTCGCTAGCTACGCTCCCGAGCGGAGTACTTTGTACCACAACTTCCAAATGGCGCTCGCTGCTTATCCCGAGAAGAACTTCCTGGGGCAGAGGAGCATTCTGCCAGACAACTCGTCAGGTCCATACAGGTACATTACCTACGCGGAAGGTGGAAAAATTGCGGACGAGATCGGTGCAGGTATCTATCCGAATTTCATTTCCGGCGATGCGCTCTTTTGTATGTTGTGTATTCAAGCTGAACGTATAAAACGCTCATTTGTTTTTCATTGCTGGTTCTGCTGCAGGTTTACTATGTCTGGGAGTTGAACCAAGACAGCGAGTTGGGATCTACTCAAAGAACAGAATTGAATGGACCCTGGCGGAGACTGCTTGCAATCTACACAGTAATCCAACAGTTGCATTATACGACAGTTTTAAAGACATCGATTATATAATACAGCACTCTGAAATGGTTGCAATATTTTTTGGCGAGGACCAAATACAGGACGTACTGCTAGCGTGCCAAAAGACAATCGACCACCCTCACCTACAACTTGCAATCTGTTTCGATGATATCGCGTCGAGTAGATTGAGAGCAGACTTTGCTCGAGTGAATGTGCATCTAACAACACTGGCAGATATTCTGCTTTTGGGAGAGGGAAGTGAGATACCTCACACAATCCCAGCTGCCGAAGACGTTGCAATAGTAATGTACACAAGCGGGTCCACTGGCGATCCTAAAGGTTTGCTACGCAATGCTCGAAGAAAGCTCGTTCATAGAATTTATTATTGATCGCTTTTGTATACAGACTATTTACCCGAATCTCTGCAATACACACATTTGTTACTCAAATTTCATGTGGAATATCTGTATTAAACCTTGCATAAAGATGTATGACTAGTATACTCATTTCAGCGAATTAACTTCCGTAAAATAATCTCACGCACTTGACAGGAGTCGAAATCACCCATGGGAATATAATGGCAAGTCTTCGAGCGTTGGAACTGAACCTCGAAATAAGCTGTGATGACGTCCATATATCGTTTTTACCACTGGCGCATGTCTTCGAGCGACTTGTACAGGTACAATATCTTGAAGATACTCTCACGGTTTTTACTTTAATTTAAGGTATTTTGATTCGTTGCATTGTTCTATTTCATTAAAACTTATCTAATATATTCATATGCAGGCTTTCTGTATACATTACGGAGCAGCAGTTGGTTTCTACGAAGGCCACATACCAAATCTCATCGCTGACATTCAGGAGCTTCGACCCACTTTCTTAATAGCGGTTCCAAGGGTACTCAACCGCATCCACGACAAAATTCAGCAAGGAATTAGTGCTGCTAGCTTTCCCAAACGCTTTCTGTTCAATATCGCGTTCCGTTTACGCGAACAAGCCTTGCTGGCAGGGCTAGACACTCCTCTATGTAACAGAGTTGTGTTCTCCAAATTCCGCGAAATACTTGGCGGTAGAGTGAGGTTTATAGTGTCTGGTTCCGCCCCTCTCGATCAGGAAGTTCATCGATTCTTACGGGTGTGCCTCTGCCCTTGTATCATGACCGGATACGGCTTGACTGAGACTACCGCAGGTTTAACATGTGCACATCCGAAAAGTGTAACTTTAGGCCACTGTGGGGGTCCGCTTCCAGTTTGTGAGGTCAAATTGATAAGTGTTCCCGAGATGTCGTATGAGACAGACAGCGATCCTCCCAGAGGAGAGATCCATGTGCGAGGCAATAATGTGTTCAAAGGGTATGTGCACATTGTAACTCCAACTTGAGCTTGATCATAGATACTATGCGTGTCTCTTCTATTTTTCCAGCAATGTTTCATGGTACAAAATAGACCCACATACCAGTACACACGCATGACACTGTTTGGCATGTGAGTCCAATTTGACACTTCCCTACTGTTGTTGCGATATACAGATACTTAAAGGACGAATACCAGACGATGAGAGTCTTCGACCGCGATGGTTGGTTCTGCACTGGCGATATCGGAGAGTGGAATAGAGATGGCACGCTCTCAATCATCGACCGGAAGAAATCTATTTTCAAGTTGTCACAGGGGGAGTACTTGTGTGCGGAGATGCTAGAGTCGATGTATAGTAAGTGCCCATTCATCGCTCAGATTCTAATTACAGGAGACTCATCTCGCTCATACCCCGTGGCTGTTGTTGTGCCGGACGAGGAGCTGGTCATTGAATGGGCTAGGTACAACAATAAGGTTGGCGACTTCAACACATTCTGTGCTGCTCCTGAGCTTCGTGACCTTCTTTTGCTACAACTAGACGCCATGCACAAAGAGGGTGGTCTCAAAGGCTTCGAACGAGTACCGCGTATTATTGTGGAGTCACAACTTTTCACAATCGACAACGGTCTTCTCACGCCAACATTGAAGTTGAAACGTATCCCTGCTGCTATGAAATATAGAGACGCGGTGGCGGAATTGTACGAACAAAACGGGGGTGATTAAAGGAACCAACACGAATAGGTAAATTACCATCTCTTGCAACGACAAAGGCGAACCCATACTCTACGACAGTGGATTCATGACTGTGGGCATCCTGACAAGTCTACAAAATATACGCTCAAGTATAGCAATTAAACACAAGACATATATTTGACAATGTTGCAGTCTCTCGCTTGTCGTGTTTAATTTATCCAGGTAATTAGTGCCCACTTTATGCAGTCGTAGTATGTGTGAAGGCCGCCTAATTTGTCAAGCCATCCACGCCGTCTATCTTTTTCGTGATAATGAATCTTCACTAAATTCACTATATTTGGTTCTTCGATTGGCGACTTTTGTTCCCTGTGCCAGAAGCACGGTACTGTGTCAATGGCACAGGCTGCCCTTAGGATACAATACTGATGTCACTTCGCTTGATTTATCGATGGTATGTCCATCGCGGACTCTTGCTTTCTTGATGATCAAAGCTGGATGTATGGTGCGTACTTCTCCAGCTATTTCTTCCCGAGATGCAACGGATATTTAACAATATACTCTTCAAATTGAGATTGCGCATCTTGTTCGTGGGTTGTCGTAGGTAAGTTCAGTGGCTGGTTGTTGTCGCATTCATCGAGTCCTATCATACGGGCGCGCGCGCCCGCCAGACGAGCTCGCCCCTGACCGCCTCCTCGACGGGTGTGATTCCGACCGTGGAGCTGATTCTGACTCCGACCTCTGCGATTCCTTTGCAGAAGCCTTTGCAGCAAATTTATGCATATAATTGAGAAAACGATGAGACTTCGTTTCAAATATGGTCAATGAGCGAATTCAGAAAAAATCGTGCATCGCACGAATGCAAAACTATATATTCTAGTGAAGTACACTTACCTCATACAGCACCCGGTAATGTGCAGCGTAATTCTCAGCGTTGTCTAGGTCCTTGCGTGCCTGTGAATATAAAAGATTTTCAGAGAGTTATTTGGTGAAGCAGGACCCTTTACTTCAAGAAAAGTTATACACCAAGAAATCTCTAAATATTTAATACCTTCATGTTCGAAACCTCGCTCTTCTCTGTATCCTCGACATGTATGCGTCGCAATTTTTCCAGCTGTGTGCAAGAAAAACAAGTAGTAGCGTTATTCATATAGATGGAAACATGAATTCCACTTCGACATTGAAATATATTTTATAAGTTCAGAGAACTTAACATGTGCGCAATACATCAGGAAGAGCCAAATTCTATGCTACAGACACTCACCTCGTCGCTATAGGAATCAATCAGCTCCATATGCTGTGAGTTTAGACTCTTCAATTTGATATTTTCTGCTTTCTGAGAAACAGAAGAAATGATAAGGTTCAAATACAACAATTATACAGATGCCGCGAAGCCGATAAATATGGAGAGAATAACGAAATGCTTGCGCAATGGTGTCCAAAATTTGATTTATAGCACACCAAGCGACACTTACCATAGTGTCAAAGTCATCGGCTACCAATTTCAGTGCGTACGTCGTGTTTTCTACCTGTGGAACGTTGCCGAAGTATGGGCATTGAATTAATATATACTCGAATGTGCAGAAAATGGGGTTTGAATGATTGCTTCTGACCAGCATCCTCTTCAATACAGGAGAAAGGCTTCCGACAAATCGATGATATTCTAATAATACCAGACAATATCTAAGGTCAAACTCATCGAAAACGGCGTGCACCGAATCGTAGAATGTGCTCATGCGCGCCAAGTAGGACCAACTCAGAAGAATATATTGGCAGCTTAGTACTGGGAGTACATGGGCTTAGAACAGAGGCATACCTCCTCTGTCAAATCATCCACTTGCACTCTCAATCCCTCATTTTCTCGTTTCAAATCCCGGATAAGTTGCAGTTCCGCATTTTCCCTCGCCTCTGCACGCGCATCGACTGAGTGGCCGTTCTCATCCACTCTAGTAGTAGATGGCAGTCTTTCTCTCGGATCGCTTCTCACACGCTTACTTGCACGACCACTGTCGGCCCCCGGTGTGTGTGCCTGGGGAAATGACTTGCTGAATTCTCGCTTCGCAAGCCTTCCTCCATCCTCGTTACTCTGGTGGAAGGTTTGGTGTGTGTAGCGTTAGCAAATACGCAGCGATATGTTTATCACTATAATAGGATTTGGGCTGTAACCGGCCACATACATACTATATTACTCGACGGATACTGAAAGTAGAGTTGCCATACAAAGCAATATATCTTCAGTGGCGATACTAGGCATCATCACCACACACTGGCAGTGCAATACTTGTGTGCGAATAAAGTATACCTTCAGTTTTCAGTAATCGATACATACATCCACGTATACATACACACACATATATATATATATATATATATGTGTGTGTGTGTGTGTGTGTGTGTGTGTGTGTGTGTGTGTGTGTG